TGCAGTGCTACTGTTATTGCTGCTGCTGCTGCTGCTGCTGCTGCTGATGATGATGATGATGATGATGATGGTACTGAAGATGTCAAAGTCGACGATGAAGACAACGTAGGCGGCTGTGGTGCCTGGGGTATGTGTAGAAATGTTGATGTTGCTGTGGCTTTTAGGTTTGTCTCTTTGACCTCATGTCTAAAGCAGTGAGGAAATCAGTGGATTCCCCTGATCTGTTTGAAGCAATAAATACATAAAAAATATAAATACATAAATACTTTAATGCATAATACATAAATGCATAAATACATAAATACACAAATGCATAAAGAACACCACAATTGACACAATTTAAATGATTAATAAGGAGACAGGCTTAATCATCTACTCCCTGCAATCCCGGCAGAAACGACTTTAAAGTTCTCCCGATACGGAAATCAAACTTGGGTCTTCGGCAAAACCCATAACTGTTACACCACTGAAGCAAGTATGGTTTGTATAACCGCAATATGAAAGGAGTATAAATATTTTTTATTTTTTTAAATACAAAAACAAAGACAAAAGAAAGGAAAACAAAAACAAAGCAAAACAAAACAAATAAGAAAGACATACATTTTGTTGATACCTTTGTCGACATGTAGCTTTCAATACCTGCACAAGGCATACATAGTTTAATAATTTATTGGTAATAAGTAAGAGAAATATACTGAGATTTGGCAATAAAACTGTCGTATCTGGAGTTGCGATACCCCTGTCTGTCGAAATTTGGAATCCAAAAAGTCGTAACTCAAGATACGACACTTTGTCTTCAACATCTGACTGTCGTAACTTGAGCTACTACAGTTTTCTTGCAAGTTTCGATTTGCAGTTTATCGTAACTCATCATTACAGGAAAAGTGGCATAGGCAGCCCCAAGCTCATTAGAAGTACTAGCGTGGACTGTATTTTGAGGCTCACATGCAAAAAATGAAACCGGTATCTCTAACCGTTTGGAAATAAAACAGTTTTTTTCGTCTCCTGAAAAGTAGCAAATTTTAGATACGACTTTTTGGAATCGTACCCTCGATATGTCAAAGTAAAAATAAAGTACACAGTATCAAAACACAGACAACCCAAACACACTATTGCCGGTCGTCGCAGTACAGAGTTCAATGTTACAAAAACAACAACAACAACAACAACAACAACAAAGAAGAAAAAAGCCACCAGTGCTCGAGTCCTCCGCATAGCTGCAAGTTTGAGAGCTCAATCGTACCAAATGAATTGACTTTATGTCCTAACATGTTTATGAAAATTCCAAAATACTCGATAAAGCATACAGAAGAGAATTTATCTACCTGTTCTTTTTTTAAAGGGGTTTGAGACATAAAACTAATATAGCACAACACTGTGACATTTGTCGATTAGTTGTGGACAAAGATAATATGAAAAAGCTCAACTAAGATAAACAAAATAATAAAGTTGTGTTGTGTTGCGGTACTACATGTAGGCTTCTTTTATTTTCATTAACCCTATCCGTACGCCGTGGGGTCATTTTGTACCCCCCCGGGTTGTATTCTTCACATTTTAAAAAATGCTTCTAGTACGAAGATCCTTTTGAATCTTTCAGTATTTCTCAAAAAGTTATTTTGACCCACTGCTATGCAAAGCGTACGGATCGGATTAACGAGTAAATTTCCTCTTTGAAAGTGGTGGCACAGAGTTCTCCACGTCGTGTGGATACGATAGTAAAACACGACGTACGGCCCACCCACAAAATAACATTTACCAATTAATTGTTTAGTTGCTCACGTGAAGTACTGCTTTTGTTTGTTTGAATACCGAGAAGCACATCGAAACTACTATTGTTATTTAGTGCCGGGAAAAAGTAAGACAGACAGACAGAAACAATAGAGGGAAAGTAAAAAAGTTGGACCTTCCAGTGATAACCCCCCCCCTTCCAACCCGTATGCAGTGCTTCGCTTATGTGTATGGCTCTTTTCGCCTATACAGAAGGTCAATTTAGCTTAAGATATTCTCAATGCTGTCTTCATGTAGCTTCTTTCATGGCTAATTCTTCCTGCCTATGTTTGAAGCGCAGATTCTGTCGCAGTGCTGGCATGTCAGTGACGTGGATCGAAGCTCTGTATTTCCGCTGTTTTCCTTTCGTTGTAGGCGCTTCTCAGCTTGGTTGTTTCTAAAGCTGCTCTCTAGCATTATAGTTCTTCACTTTATCATTTTCCTCCATGTTTTCCTGTCCTCAGCTATTTATTCCCCAAGCTTAGATAAGCTGCTTTTTCAGGAGTCTTTGTATCTCAATTTTGGTCTTCCTCTTGGTCTCTTTCCCTGAGCAAGTTCTCCATAGAGAAGTTGCTTCGGAATCCGGTTGTCGTCCATTCTCTTGACATGGCCCAGCCATCTAAATCTTTTCAAACACAGGATAGTTGTCATGCTCTGTAGGCTTGCCCGGGCCAACACTTCAGCAGTGGTGACCTTGTTACGCCCCGAAATGCCTAAGATCTTGTGGGGAGCGTCTGCGATGGAAAACTTCGAGGCGCTTTTCTTGCCTGCTGTACAAGGTCCTTGTTTTAGATCCATAAAGGAGTGTGCTTATATCGCTCTCCAAATAAAGCAAAAATAATGTACGCCTCAATCTGAAAAATGGTAAAACGGTACACGTTTAACGCTCCTATCAACACTATTAGGTTATTCAAGAGGCGGTACCTCCGAGTCCATCTCCGACAGGACAGAGCCAAAAAGGAAATTCACGTGCAGTCCCTTTCCCACGGACACAACATCGAACCGAACTGAGGCTCGAACCTCCGAACCGTAATCTCCCGATTACGAGCCTGATAGCCTAACCACTGAGAAAAGAATAGCACTTCGACCCAATAACAGTCATTTTGTGCAACCCCGAAAAAGAAAGACATAAAATAACAGAGTGAATGAAGCATAGCCCACCAGTGGAACCTCACAATGATGTGGAAAATTTTACTTTTTTAAAAACTTAGCACAGTTTAGCACCTTTAGGAGGCGGCTTCAACAACGTTGTCAAGGCCAACCCTAGATGAAAGCGAGAGAGAGAGAGAGAGAGAGAGAGAGAGAGAGAGAGAGAGAGAGAGAGAGAGAGAGAGAGATGCAGCATCTGCTCAACAACGTGGTGCTCGATAAAAGTTCTCCCCATATGAGAATCGAGCTCAGATCTTTGCAGGCGACTGTGAATGACCTAAAAAGGGGACGGGGGAAGGGGGTACGGGTTACAAGTTTAGTTAAAACTGAGAGTTGTCCATCCTTTTTGTAATAACGAAATACATGCACTAAAAGATGCAAAGTTGGTAAAAAAAAACAACAACCCAAAAAGCAAAAAAAACTTGTTTTTGCAATTTTCAAAATCCAGAAGAAAATGAATCGCTCGCAAGTCATAATCTTTTTTTTTTCATGTTAATACGCTAGCAATAAATTTGATGTTATTTTTATGACAAGACTCATTTTCCCGCTAGTTTATAAACAAGAATTCTATCCACTGCGGCTAGCAGACAGTCTAGTGATGGGAAGCTTTAAAAATTCGTTTCTTAACTTCTTGAAACACCATGTT